TGTGCTTGGGGTTCAACTGCAGCAACACACCTAAAGCCAATAATAACCCAACAAAAAGCTGCAGTAAGAATAATCACTAAATCCCATCCCTGGAAACACACCCCCCCACTCTTCATAGATCTAAACTTACTCCCTGTTCAGTACATCCACACTTACTACTGTGCAATCTACATCTACAAGACCTTAAATTCCAATATTAACCTTGCCTAAAATGCTTTCTTGATAGTTGTGACAGAACCCACAGGCACAACACCAGACACAAAAATCTCTATGACATTCCCCGTGTCCGACTAAACCTTTACAAAAATTCAATGTATGTCAAAGGCCCTAAAATCTGGAACACCCTACCTGAAAATTCCAAAACTGCAGACACATTCATCACCTTCAAAACATCTTATCTCCCTGATACACCCTGTCAACTAATAATATGAATACCACCTGGTGGTTCACACTTACACTCACTCACCCATTTGACCATAAACAGAAATATCAATCTCAATCTCAAAATAATGAATCTTAACTAGTCCTAAGTTGGCCTGTGATACTCCAATACTGAAACTACGTATAGTGCCAAAACAAAAGCATTCACATTGCTAAACTCACAACTAGTATTTAGTCACTTAGCCATAATACCAACTTATCTCATAATTTTGTAACATTTTAAACCTAAGATTTAATATAAGTCTGCCCGAAATGCCTAGCCATGCTAGGCGTTCTAGTGGTGCACTCTGTAATTATTATTTTACTACATTTAAACCACACAATAACCAAATTCTGTAAACTCAGCATTGTAATACTTATAGAGAATAAAGTTTGAATTGAATTGAATTTTCTTTTACTCTCCATATAAATAATACTAATACAGTACATAATAATAATCACTCTTAGGCACATTAAATGTCTTATTTTACGTTAATATAGACATTTTCATTAATCCATCTATGGCATATAAACATGATACATACACCCACAGTACAATAAATTTCACATAAATATTAGGTGTGGTAGCTGGGCAGAGGGGAAAACATTGTTTTCTCTGGTTCAGCACCAGAGAAAATGTGTATGAATCTGCATTTGGCCCAGTCACTACCCCTAACATATTTCACTTTGTTTACAATTCTCAGCATGAATTCTCATTACATCTCCCTTCGTTTATGATGGCATCTCAAGGTAGTTGTTAGAAACGCTTAACCCTTTGACTGTTTTGATCGTATATATACGTCTTATGAGCCACCGTTTTTGACGTGCATATATACACTCAAATTCTAACCTCTTCAAATCAAGCAGGAGAAAGCTGGTAGGCCCACATGTGAGAGAATGGGTCTGTGTGGTCAGTGTGTACCATATAAAAAATTCTGCAGTACGCAGTGCATAATGAGAAAAAAAAACTCAGTTTTTTTTTTTAATTAAAATGCCGAATTTGTGGTCTATTTTCGTATAGTATTTATGGTTGTATTCTCATTTTCTTGGTCTCGTTTGATAGAATGGAAAATGTATTATAGAAACAGAGGTGATTTTGATTGGTTTTACTATGAAAAGAACCTTGAAATGGAGCTCAAATTAGGGGAAATGTTTGATTTTTACCAGTGTTCAAAAGTAAAATGATGTCATTTTCCAATAAATGTCCAAGTAGCCATTCTAATAAGCAGGCATGAATGAGCTGACATTATTTATACAATTACAATATTCCAGTAGTCTGCATAACAGTAAATCTTATATTTTTTTGTTTGAATAAAAATTCAAAAATTTGCCTTGTGACCCATGCCTTATTTGCTTTCCCTAAGACACATAACTTGTTCTTTATGACATTGTTTTTCTTAAACACTGCGGGATTTTCTCAATGATACACAAGTAAAGGCTTCACTTTAAAATCACCACTAGCACAGAACAAGAGTGTTAGCCTGTCTTTCATAGGCTTGTGTCCTGGGAGTGCCTTTTCCTCCTGAGTAATGTAGGTCCTCTTGGGCATTTTCTTCCAAAACAGGCCTGTTTTGTCACAATTGAACACTTGTTGGGGTTTGAATTTTTCAGTCTACATAAACCTTAAACTCCTACACAAACTTCTCAGCTGCCCATTTGTCTGAACTGGCTGCCTTGCCATGCCTTACAAAATTGTGTATGCCACTACACTTCTTAAATCTGTCAAACCAGCCTCTGCTGGCCTTAAATTCACTATCAGCACTGGTTCCAGGAGTTTTCTGTACCAGATTGGCATGCAACTTCCTTGCCTGTTCACAAATAATCGTCTCTGAAACACTATCACCTGCCATCTCTTTATCCTTGATCCACACCAGCAACAACTTCTCAACCTGATCAATTGTCTGTGGTCTATTTATGGGGAGGAGTAGTATGGAAGAAGTGAATGTTTTCAGATACTTATGAGTTGACGTGTCGGCGGATGGATTTATGAAGGATGAGGTTAATCATAGAATTGATGAGGGAAAAAAGGTGAGTGGTGCGTTGAGGTATATGTGGAGTCAAAAAACGTTATCTATGGAGGCAAAGAAGGGAATGTATGAAAGTATAGTAGTACCAACACTCTTATATGGATGTGAAGCTTGGGTGGTAAATGCAGCAGCGAGGAGACGGCTGGAGGCAGTGGAGATGTCCTGTCTAAGGGCAATGTGTGGTGTAAATATTATGCAGAAAATTCGGAGTGTGGAAATTAGGAGAAGGTGTGGAGTTAATAAAAGCATTAGTCAGAGGGCACAAGAGGGGTTGTTGAGGTGGTTTGGTCGTTTAGAGAGAATGGATCAAAGTAGAATGACATGGAAAGCATATAAATCTATAGGGAAGGAAAGAGGGTAGGGGTCGTCCTCGAAAGGGTTGGAAAGAGGGGGTAAAGGAGGTTTGTGGGTAAGGGGCTTGGACTTCCAGCAAGTGTGCATGAGCGTGTTAGATAGGAGTGAATGGAGACGAATGATACTTGGGACCTGACGATCTGTTGGAGTGTGAGCAGGGGAATATTTAGTGAAGGGATTCAGGGAAACCGGTTATTTTCATATAGTCGGACTTGAGTCCTGGAAATGGGAAGTACAATGCCTGCACTTTAAAGGAGGGGTTTGGGATATTGGCAGTTTGGAGGGATATGTTGTGTATCTTTATACGTATATGCTTCTAAGCTGTTGTATTCTGAGCACCTCTGCAAAAGCAGTGATAATGTGTGAGTGTGGTGAAAGTGTTGAATGATGATGATGAAAGTATTTTCTTTTTGGGGATTTTCTTTCTTTTTTGGGTCACCCTGCCTCGGTGGGAGACGACCGACTTGTTGAAAAAAAAAAAAAAATTAACACCTTTTGCAACATCAGCTTCCTTGATTTGTTCTTTCTTTGCCAGGATAGAAGCAATGGTCGACTTATTTTTCCCATACATCCTGGCAAGCTCAAGTCTCATACTTCTGTATTATTTCCTTCTTCACATCTATGATGTTTCTCACTTTCTTTACCACAGGGGTACCACTACCAAGTTTCTTTGGGCCCATGGTATCTTATTTCACAGTCCCACAAGCACTAAACACAATGAATTAATTGTAAATGTTTGAATGAGAGTGCAGATTAGTGTTCACTCAAGCATCAACAAAGCCAGACTGGCTCACGGCACCTGCGCGGGGATGCGAACAGAGCGGGCTGGCGGATAGGTCCAGTACCCGGTGGTTCGAAAATGGGGGCGAGTTCGATAATAGAGACAAAGTTGGTGTGAAAAAAGCGGTCGATTTTCGAAGAGTTCGATAACCAATACGTTCAAAATCTGAGGTTCCACTGTACTCGACTCTCGCCCTACATTAAGACTACAAATATTTTAAGGTAAGAAATGAATGTACTGTGTATGTATTTGACTTTTCATTGTTTTTAATACCTAGTTCTATTGTTAGCTTAATACATGTTAGTGTAAACTTGTTGTCTGGAATTTTTATGCATTTATAAGTGGAAAAAATAGCTTTCTGCTTTCCGGCGATGTCCGTTTTCTGGCGGTAGCCTGGAACCTAACCTGCCATATAAGTGGGGCCCTACTGTAGTTACAAGTAAAATAATCCAGAAATCACACTCTTCTCTGGAAAGTTCTGAATTAAGTGTTCCAAAGAGTTTTCTTTCTTTCTTTCTTTTTGGGTCACCCTGCCTCGGTGGGAGACTGCCAACTTGTTAAAAAACAGTGAAATACTTAATTTTCACCGTGCAAATGAAAACTTTCAGCATAAAAATTTACTCATCCCTAACTGTGCACTTATTACATAATAAACTAGTTATAGGAAAAAAAAAAAAAAACCTTTTGAAGTCACACTAAATACTCACCATTGCTGTAGCTCAACTCCACTTTCCTTTTCACCTAAAGTCATCATTTATAAACCACAAGTAAGCCTAAGTGCCATAGGTATTATGCATAAATTATCTGCAATTTATGCAGTATCTGTTGATTTTATCTTAATCCTACAAAAAAAAAAAGTGCTGAATGTAATGCAGAAGAGGCATAGGAGGGCGTTATTAATCCAGCAAAAAAAGTACTGCAAAAATTAGTGTGCACACGCACACATGCAGGCACACACGCACTCGCGCACACACGCACTCACGCACATACACACATGCACGCGCACTCACGCACACATGTGCGCACTCACACAACGCACGCATGCATGCACACACAGACACACACACACATACACATACAACAGGCCTGGTGTGTAAAAGACATGTGCCAAGGACCAAATGGTAACACACACACACACACACGAGTTGATCGACTCCGGAAAGAGTGTAGGTTTGACAATATTAAATTTGATGATTAGAAAAAACTGCATGACAAAAGATTTTTTGTTTTTCTTTAATCCCACTTTTTCTTAAGGTTTGATAGCAGCACTAATAAAAGAAGCAACTGCATATTTACCCTCCACTAGGCAAAGAAATTTCAACCCGTACAGAATATTCTTCATATTACGGATGCAATACTGTATCTCCTCCATATTAAAGAATCACTCATGCATGTATGAAGATTAAAGAATCACTCACGTTAAAGGTCCCAGGTTGAGAGAAAAAAGGAAAATGAGAGCAAACAGTGCAGTTGTGGTTTTTCTGCTAGGACTGCGACTGACTGACTGTCGTAAACTTGCACACACAGCTTCAAGTGATGTAATTCTTTGGTGCAGACGCGAATTTTCCTGGAAAAAAAGAATTATCTTAAGTACGGTAATTTTTTTTCTAAACAAGTTGGCCGTCTCCCACCGAGGCAGGGCGACCCAAAATGAAAGGAAATCCCCAAAAAGAAAATACTTTCATCATTCAGCACTTTCACATCACTCACACATAATCACTGTCTTGGCAGAGGCACCCAGATACAACAGTTTAGAAGCATACATAACATACCCCTCCAAACTGCCAATATCCCAAACCCCTCCTTTAAAGTGCAGGCATTGTACTTCCCATTTTCAGTACTCAAGTCCGGCTATATAAAAATAACCAGTTTCCCTGAACCCCGTCACTAAATATTACTCTGCTCACACTCCAACAGTTTGTCAGGTCCCAAAAACCATTCGTCTCCATTCACTTCTAACACGCTCACACATGCTTGCTGGAAGTCCAAGCCCCTCGCCCACAATACCTCTTTTACCCCCTCCTTCCAACCTTTTCAAGAAAGACCCCTACCCCGCCTTCCTTCCCCTACAGATTTATATGCTCTAAGTCATTCTACTATGATCCATTCTCTCTAAATGACCAAACCACCTCAACAACTCCTCTTCAGCCCTATGTAACTCCACACCTTCTACTAATTTCCACACTCCGAATTCTCTGCATAATATTTACACCACACACTGCCCTTAGACAGGACATCTCCACTGCCTCCAGCTGCCTCCTTGCTGCAGCATTTGCAACCCAAGCTTCACACCCACACAAGTGTGTTGGTACTACTATACTTTCATACATTCCCTTCTTTGCCTCCATGGATAACATTTTTTGTCTCCACAGATGTCTCAACGCACCACTCGCCTTTTCTCCTTCATCAATTCTATGGTTAACCTCATCCTTCATAAAGTTTGATGGAGGGGATGCTGGCAGAGGTTTAGGGTAATGGAAGATAACAGGTCGGCTTATGTTCAGTGGATGTACACACATCCAACAACATTGGAGAGTTACTTTCGTGTCGTTTTTCTATCGCTTACTCGCTTAACTTACTTGCTACACTGTTAATTCTACACTTTGTCGCTGGCTGGCACTATAGCCTTTATCGATACCTGCTGCTTTAGTATCGTACATATCGTAGAATCAATGAATCACTGCAGAAGGCACATTCTTCCCTCGCTCTTCCTCCTCCACTTTGGTACTTTGTTACAAGCTTTTTCTTGAATTTTATTATGTTTCTTTCCTTCTTTATCACGGGGCTGGCACTAGAAACTTTCTTTGGGCCCATGGTGGCTTATTTAGCGGAATAAAATAATATTGCAGGTACACTTGGAAACGACCGAAACGGCTTGTAAACACTGGCTGTATATGGAGTCTTGGAGTGGCTGGGCCTGCTCAAGCCACGCTCCGGTCCCATGGACAAGTTCGGGATGAACGTCGTTAGACGAGTTTTTTGCCGTTGGTAGAGCCATTTTTTTTTTACACCAAAGAGCGCCGTTAGACGACTTTGCCGTTACTTGATGCCGCAGTTAGTTGAGGGTCCACTGTATTTGCAACATTTGCCATATTGCTCCCCTATCCACTATCTTATGCCTTTTCTAAATCCATAAATGCAATGAAAACTTTCCTACCTTTATCTAAATAATGTTGAAGGATAAGTTATAGCAGGACAAGATGGAACATAAATGTACAAATTCAAGGATTATGTGGTGTAAAATAAGTGTTGGATGTAAAAAGTGGGTTATAGTAAGTGTTTATGCACCTGGAGGAAGGGGGGGTGAAGAGAGAAAGAGAAAAAGAGAAAGAGAAAAAGAGAGAGGAGAGGAAAGGAGAAAGGAGAGGAAGAGAGAGGGAAGAGGGGAGAGAGAGGGAAGAGAGAGAGGAAGAGAGAGAGGAAGAAAGAAGAGAGGAAGAGGAGAGAGAGGAGAGAGGAAAAGAGGAAGAGAGAGAGAGAGGAGAGGAGAGAGAGAGAGAGGGGAGAGGGAAAGAGAGAGAGAGGAAGGAGAGAGAGAGGAGAGGAAAGAGAGAGAGAGAGAGGAAGAAGAGAGAGAGAGAGGAAGAGAGGAGAGAGAGGAAGAGAGAGAGAAAAGAGGAAGAGAGAGAAGAGAGAGGAGAGGAAGAGAGAGAGAGGAAAGAGGGGAGAAAGGGAAGGGGAGAGAGAGAAGGAAGAGAGAGAGAGAGGAAAGAGGAGAAGGAAAGGGGAGAGAGGAAGGAAGAGAGGAGAGAGGAAGAGAAGAGGAGAGAGGAAGAGAGAGAGAGAGGAGAGAGAGAGAGGGAAGAGGAGAGGGAGAGAGAAAAGAAAAGAGAAAAAGGGGAAAAGAGAAAGAAAAGAGGAAGAGAGAGAAAGGGGAGGAGAGAGGAAAGAGAGAGAGGAAAGAGAAAAAAAGAGAAGAGAGGAAAAAGGAGAGAGAGAGGAAGAGAGAGAGAGGAAAGAGAGAGGAAGAGAGGGAAAGAGAGAGAGGGGAAAAGGGAGAGGAAAAGAGAGAGGAAGAGAGGAGAGAGAGGAAGAGAGGAGAGGGAAGAGAGAGAGAGGAGGAAGAGAGAGAGAGGGGAAGAGAGAGAGAGGAAGAGAGAGAGAGGAAAAAGAGGGGAGAGGAAGAGAGAGAGAGGAAAGAGAGAGGAAGAAGAGAGGGAAGAGAGAGAGAGGAAGAGAGAGAGAGGAAGAGAGAGAGAGGAAGAGAAAAAGAAGGAGGAAGAGAGAGAGAGGAAGAGAGAGAGGGGAAGAGAGAGAGGAAGAGAGAGGGAGAGAGAAAGAAAAAAGAAAAAAAAAAGGGGAGAAAGAGAGAGAAAAGAAAAAAGAGAAAGAAAGAAAGAGAGAGAGAGAGAGAGAGAGAGAGAGAGAGAGAGAGAGAGAGAGAGAGAGAGAGTGATTGATTTTGGAAAATGTTGAGCGAGTGCATGGGGAGTTTTGAACCAAGCAAGAGTGTACTTGTGGTTGGGATCTCAATGCTAAAGTGGGTAAAAATGTTGTGGAGGTAGTAGTAGGTAAATTTGGGGTGCTATGAGTAAATGAAAATGGGAAGCCTTTAATTGAGCTATGTGTAGAAAGAACTTTGGTAATAAGTAATACATATTTTATGAAAAAGAGGATAAATAAGTATACAATGTATGATATAGCACATAATGAAAGTAGTCTGTTAGATTATGTATTGGTGGATAAAAGGTTGATGGGTATGCTTCAGGATGTACATGTTTATAGAGGGGCAACTGATATATTGGATTATTTAGTTGCAGCTACAGTTAGAGTAAAAAGTAGATGGAACAAAAGGAAAATGGCAACAGCAAGTAAGAGAGGTGAAGGTGTATAAACTAAGGGAGGAGGAAATTAGGGTGAGATATAAACAACTATTGGCAGAAAAGTGGGATAGTGCAAGTATGAGTAGTGGGGGGTTGAAGAGGGTTCGAATAGTTTTAAAAATGCAATATTAGAATGCGAGGCAGAAGTTTGTGGCTATAGGAGGGTGGGTGCAGGAAAAAAAGAGGAGTGATTGGTGAAATGATGAAGTTAAAGGGTGTGATAAAAGAGAAAAAGGTAGTTTATGAGAGGTTTTTACAAAGCAGAAGTGTTATACGAAGAGTAGAGTATATGGAGAGTAAAAGAAAAATGAAGAGAGTGGCGAGATATTGCAAAAGGAGAGCAGATGACAGAATGGGAGAGGCACTGTCAAGAAGTACGGTAATATGCTCTTTTACAATCTTCAATTAGTTTGTTACTCCTTGGGTGGAAACATTTATGCACTTTTTAAATAGATCCTTTCTCAGTAAATTATATCACACCACAAATTGAGGAATTAACAAACTTGTGTAAATGATAAATATTGAATTTTTTTTTATGTATGTATAGAAATCAAAGCCGCTGCTGAATTCTCTCTACTCAATTCTACTCTTGCTATGACAAATTTACCTTTCTTCCCAAAGAAATACAATGTCAACGACAAAGATCTGTGGATGACTTCTTGCAAAACTTATTGTGTCTAATTTTTATTAAATTTTCTGCAATTCAATCACAGAAAAATGCATATTTTTATTCTGTTCATTAAAAAAAAAAATTACTTGCCATTCTGTATTATAATCCTGAAGTAACTTGTTTGACAAATTAAGTGATTGCTTCAGTGTTTTTGCACAATATCCAGTACAATTTATTCTGTTTACTGAGGCACTTACTGAAGCATTATTAATTAAAAGTCACCTTCAAAGGATTTTAGCAAGTGCTTTTGTAAGTGTATTTTTGGGGGTCTGAAATGGATTAATCTACTTTACATTATTCCTCATGGGAACAAATTCGTTCGGTATCTGCACTCGAACAGCCTTCTGGAACGAATTAAGTTCGTATCCTGAGGTACCACTGTACCTGGCAACCCACTCTACAAAGGAAAATTAAGATGACATTTCTGTTTAACATCACAAATTCACAACATGACTATCAAGTTGTGAACTGATCCTGGCTTCTGACTCACTGTAGGTTAGTTGTGAACTATTCTAGGTAAAGTATTGCAACTTAGCTTTCTTGGTCACACACTAGAGTGAAAATAACAACATTCATTAAAAACACAAACAAGGATACAATCTTAACTCAGTCAATTCTAGAATATGCTGTGCTGCATCAATAAACATCATTTAAAATTACAGTTTTTTTTTTTCAACAAACTGGCTGCATCCCACCAAGGGAGGGTGGCCCAAAAAGATGAAAGTTTTTCTTTTCATATTTAGTAATTTGTACAGGAGAAGGGGTTACTAGCCCCTTGCCCCTGGCATTTCGGTCGCCTCTTACAACACGCATGACTTACGGAGGAAGAATTCTGTTCCACTTCCCCATGGAAATGAGAGGAAATAAACAACAAGAACAAGAACTAGAAAGAAAATAGAAGAAAACCCAGAGGGGTGTGTATATATATATGCTTGTACATGCATGTGTAGTGTGACCTAAGTGTAAGAAGTAGCAAGATGTACCTGAAATCTTGCATGTTTACGAGACAAAAAAGACACTAGTAATCCTACCACCGTGTAAAACAAATACAGGCTTTCGTTTTACATTCACTTGGCAGGACGGTAGTACCTCCCTGGGCAGTTGCTGTCTACCAACCTACTACCTACATACAGCTATGTATCTAAAAACAGAATTCTTCCTCCGTGAGCCATGCGTGTTTTAAGAGGCGACTAAAATGCCGGGAGGAAGGGGCTAGTAACCCCTACTCCTGTATAAATTACTAAATTTAAAAAGAGAAACTCTCGTTCTTTTTGGGCCATCGTGCCTCGGTTGGATATGGCTGGTTTCTTGAAAGAAAGATGCATCTCTAAAAATGGGGAGACAAATGTAAAAATTACTTCGAAGCCAATACCAGTGAGTTGGATATACAGGTCCTTCATCACAAATCCGGCATCATTGGGACCTATAGTGTGCTGGATTACCGAGTTTGCCGGATTACAGAGTGGTTAGGTTAGAATACACTTAATAAAATTAACTAACTTGATTTACACAAAGTTCATTGAACATCAGCAAAAATCGAACATTTCTGCTACTTTGAGCTCAATTTCAAGGTACTTTTCATCATGAAAGCTATCAAAATCATGTCTATTTCTGTAATATATCTTCCATTCTATCAAATGAGTCCAAAAAAAATGAGAATACAACCATAAAAACCATACGAAAATATACTGCAAAGAGGCGGCTAATGGCTGAGAAGTGAACTCCCTTATTTATCGTCCGTCTTTTTTATTTTTGTTGTACGTTAAGAAGCATCTTTCCATCATACATTCCCCAAGTTTCAATGAGATAGCCCAACAAACAACCGAGAGAAAAAAAAATATTTACCAAAAATCATATATGGCAAGCCCAAGCCAGGTACTGGAAATAAGTCACTTTGTCTGACTTTTCTGGGTTATCCTATGTTCTCTATACATATAGTCACATAGATTATCATACATACATGTATGATAATCTATGTAACTATCTGTGTATACCTGAATAAACTTATTTACTTCTAGTCTGTCAACTGAGAAACCCCCATTCACTTATTTCAACCACTCAATAAAGTGGTCAGAAATTGGCAATTTGGTCAATGTCACACAAATTTCAACAGATGCCAATTTCAAAATAGGGTCCAGAATAAACAATATAGACATTCCTGGGACTAAAATAACATTTTCTCTGTTCATTAGTCATGACTACAGGCCCCTCTTATATCACTCTTGCTTATCATTTGGAATTTTTATTCTCAAAAAAAAAAAAAAAAAAAAAAAAAAAAAAAATCTGTTATGCAGACTGCTGCATTATTGTAATAATTGTATAAATAATGTCAACACATTCTTGACTCTGCATTGGAATTTGGACTGGCAGGCGGACATTTTCGCTACTGTGAGCACAATTTCAAGGTACTTTTCGTCATAAAAGCAATCAAAATCATATCTATTTCTGTAACACATCTTTCATTCTATCAAATGAGACCGAAAAATGAGAACATAACCATAAAAAACATGGCTGAGAAGTGAACTTCGCTATTTATGGTCCGATTTATTTCAATTTTGGTGTACGTTAAGAAGTATCTTTCCATCATACATTGACCAAGTTTGAACAAGATAACCCAACAAACAACTGAGAAAATAGTAATAATAATAATAATAATAGTAATAATAATAATAATAATAATAATATATTTACTACATGTACAAGGTATACAGGCCTAGCTGACATCAGTGACATACTACTATATAGAATGCCGCTTGTTATGCGGCTTTCTATATAGTAGTATGTCACTGATGTCATACTATACTATACTGACATACTATATAGTAGTATGTCAGTGTCCCAGGATAACACCCACACTAGTCGGCTAACACCCAGGTACTCATTTACTGATGGGTAAACAGACAACAGGTGTAAAGAAACATGCCTAATGTTTCTACCCTGGCTGGGAATCGAATACTATTTACCAAAAATCATATATGGCTAACCCAAGCCAGGTACTAAAAATATGCCAGGTTGACTTTTTTGGGTTATCCTAGGTTCTCTACACATATGCTGCTATGTGTGATAATCTATATAGAGAAAATAATTTTTTTGTTTCAGGTTTATGGTGCAGTACGAGTGTATATCACAGTTAGCCCTATGTTACACTCCGTTTTCTCTAATATAAACCCCCAAGACAGGGATAGGAGAATGATATTTGTATACCATATCCTCTTCATACCTCCGTCAAACTGCTCGGTGTTATGCCAATTATTCATTCTGGAGTATTTAACATGTTTTATGTTATTTATATTGTTTATTATGTCACATTAGATCAATTGTGATAGGCAAATAAGCTGTAGTGTTGATATTAGCATAATAATAAAGCATATTCTCCTGCATAGTGCTACAAAAGTAGATCTACTTTTTTTTTTTTTTACATATTTTCAAATATAAAAAAAAAAAATTATATATATATATATATATATATATATATATTTTTTTTTTTTTTTTTTTTTCAACAAGTCGGCCGTTCCCACCGAGCAGGGTGACCCAAAAAAGAAAGAAAATCCCCAAAAAGAAAATACTTTCATCATCATTCAACACTTTCACCACACTCGCACATTATCACTGTTTTTGCAGAGGTGCTCAGAATACAACAGTCTAGAAGCATACAAAATATAAAGATACACAACATATCCCTCCAAACTGCCAATATCCCAAACCCCTCCTTTAAAGTGCAGGCATTGTACTTCCCATTTCCAGGACTCAAGTCCGACTATATGAAAATAACCGGTTTCCTGAATCCTTCACTAAATATTACCCTGCTCACACTCCAACAGATCGTCAGGTCCCAAGTACCATTCGTCTCCATTCACTCCTATCTATATATATATATAAAAAAAAAAAGTAGATAAAAGTTTTTTTTTACACGTTTTCAGATGTGAAACAAAAAAGAAGATCTACATTTTCTTACATACTTTCAGATGTTGAAAAAACGTATATATACGTTTGGACTGTTTAAGGGTTAATGGATAATGTACTGTGTAGGTGCTTTACATAATGAGAAGCATTTCTTTTATTCAATGGAACCATGGCTAGGGCTAAAAGTAAGCAGGTTAAAACAATAAATGGAGAAAGAAATTGGAATGACTTATGCAGCAAGTAGCACCACCAAACAGTACCAGCAGGTTGGTGTGGTGATCCTGGAAATTTGAAATTATGCTAGCCAAAATTAGTGCTGAATAACTGAAGGAACCGAATAACTGATTGCCGGATTTGTGATGGCGGACCTGCAGTAATAGGTAAAGAGGGGAAGGAGAGAATACCAATAATGGGCCTAATTATACTATATGAATTTAGAAGAGAATAAAAACAAATTTTTTTACCAGTCATTTGACTGACAGTTCTACTAAATTAAAACATGTCCATACTATATCATGGAAGAAAGCCTTGCACACTATGGTATTTAAAATCTAATAAATATTGCTTACCTCTTTTAACTTTTGGTTTTCTTTTTGAAGATCAGTAATGTTTCCTTCAAGGGCAGTTAGATATTCTTTTTTCTTTTTTCGTGAAAGACTTGCAGATTCTCTGTTCTTTATCATCCGTTGTTGCCTTTTGAAAGCCTTCAGCTGTACAAAAAATAATTTAAAAACTAGATATGATTGGAATGATGAAAAGATAAACTTTTTGGAAATGCACTGATATTTATCAACAAGGCAGAATGGCCCTTAAAACAATCACCATTACTCATTTCCTAGTTGTCTTTTTAAAAAGTGTACGGACATCATAACTCCAGTTATACAACAAACAGCAACATACCAACCCTTCCTCCAGAATACAGGCACTGTACTTTCCACCTCTACAATTCAAACCTACTAACCAATACAAAGAAAATACCAATTATTTTAGAGAAAACCAGTTTCTCAATGTACTCTTAAACAAGTTATGTCAAGTACAAGGGCTCAAGTACCCTATCTCGTACAGAAAATCAGGGTTGGGAAGGTTATTGTAAGTCTTGGTAAGAACCTTCCTGGTACAACTCTTAACCCGTAAACAGTCCAAACGTATACAGGTCTCCCTCAACATTCACGTTTTCAACTTTCACGGGCTTCACACATTCGCAAATTCCCAACTGCCAAATTTCCAGCCACCAAATTCCCAGCCACCAAATCATATTTAAGTTTCCCCGCCACCTGCGAGTCCCTACTATCCTCCCTCCGACCCCGGCAACTGGCAGCCAGCCCTCCCACCACTCAAGTGGCGAGTGATTTGTTTGTTCATTATTTGCTATTAAACTACAGTATAAATAATGTAAACCAATTCATGACTGCATATTGGAATGGCTATTCGGACAGGTATTAGATGGTGACATGTGTTTACTCTTGAACACAGCAAAGAATCAAACATTTCTGCTACAGCTAATAATAATAATATTAGTAGTAGTAGTAATAGTAGTAGTAATAATAATAATAATAATAATAATAATAATAATAATAATAATAATAATAATAAATACGATATAATTGAAGAAGGAAATTGTACAAAAATAGGAGGGAGTGGTTGACACATCGTCAGTGTGACTGTTTATGCTGGAGTGAACATTAGTCTCCCTGCTCTTCCAAACATTTCACAATAATTCATTTTGTTTGGTGCTTGTAGATTGAGTGCGACTGGAGTGGTAGAGGCAGTGGTAGAGGCAGTGGTAGAGGCAGTGGTTGAGGCAGTGGTTGAGGCAGTGGTTGAGGCAGCGGTTGAGGCAGTGAGTGAGGCAGTGAGTGAGGCAGCGGTTGAGGCAGCGGTTGAGGCATACATGTTAATAATAATAATAATACATGTTATTAATAATATGTACTATTATTATTTATAACATATATGTTATTAAATACCACTGCCTCAACCGCTGAATTATTGTGAAATGTTTGGAAGAGCACGGAGACTAATGCTCACTCCAGCATAAACAGTTGACGATGTGTCAACCACTCCCTCATATTTTTGTACAATTTCCTTCTTCAATTATATCGTATTTATTATTATTATTATTATTACTATTGTTATTATTAGCAGTAGCAGAAATGTTCGATTCTTTGCTGTGTTCAAGAGTAAACACATGATGTCACCGTCTAATACCTTTCCAAATAGCCATTCCAATATGCAGTCATGAATGGGTTGACATTATTTATACTGTAGTTTAATAGCAAATAATGAACAAACAAAACTCACCACACTGAGTGGTGGGAGGGCTGGCTGCCAGTTGCGGGGTCAGAGGGAGGGTAGTAGGGACTCGCAGTGGTTGAGGAAGTGGTTGAGGAAGTGGTGGAGGCAATGGTATTTAATAACATACATGTTATTAAAGGATAACATGCATATATTTAGTACAATTTACGACGTTTTCATGTATTTTATGATTGTCCATGGTTCAACAAGTTAAGGAAGCAGTATTGTATTATATTTCCATACAATATATTGGGGCACCAAACATTCACGGTTTTTCAACATTCGCGAGGCTCTTGATCCCCTAACCCTCGCGAAAGTTGAGGGGGACCTGTATATGCGTTTTTTCAACATTTGAAAGTATGTAAAAAAAGTAGATCTTTGTTTTTTTTACATTTGAAAATGTGTAAAAAAAAAACGTAGATCTACTTTTGTAGCACTACACACGTGAACGTAGATCTGCTTGGACTGTTTACGGGTTAAATGCCTAGACCTTTCATTAAACACAATTATTTAGTTGTAAATAGGTTAGTCTAACCCTTAAATGTCCAAACGTAGATCTACGTTTGCGTGCGTAGCGCTCTGACCTTGATTTTTCTCCCTAAGAAAGAATGTAAAAAAAAAAAAAAAAAAAAATGTAGATCTACTTTTGGAGCGCTACACGAGTGAACGTAGATCTACATTTGGACAGTTAGAGGGTTAATACTTGGTACTCAAAATTCAAGAGTACAGTAGGGCCACACTTTACGGCATACTGCTAATATGGACATTTCAAATTATGACCAAAACTCTTTATACGCCTCCCCCACCTGACTTTCTAACACCGTTAATGTGCCCCACCCACTTTGTTTACATTCTCTGTGATCATGACTCTCCATTATGTCTGGAAACTTTCCAAAATTTCAAGTGTTTTGAAGTTATTTTATATATACAGTGGATCCTCAGATATTGGCCGTTCTTGTTATTGGCCAGCTCGGTCATCGGCCGGTTTTTCTTCTCCCGGTGATTGGCCGTTATTTCGGTGATCAGCCATTTCGGATGCATCCATCTGCTGGATGGGGCTGCTTGTGCGTCAAGTCTGCCCGTGTGTCTGAGGAAGCTTCTGCTCATACATCCAAACATTTCGCTTGTTTTCCTTTTTTTTTTTTCTGCAGTGCAACTCCAAAATAAGTAACCATGGCTCCAAAGAAAGTTCCTAGTAAAGTTCCTGTAGTAAAGAAAGTGAGAAACACCATGGAATTTAAGCGTGAAGTGTAGCAGGCATGCAGGGAGTGTAGCAGGCATCACAGAAGCCAGCATTAGTCTTCAATAAAGGTATGCAATTCTGATTAAAGTGTTAAAAAAATTATTTTTTTTGTGAACATTATTGTCTGGAATGGATTAATTGTATTTGCATTAATTCGGTTTTTGGCCATTTCGGTTTTAGGCCGAGCTTCTGGAACGGATTACAGCCGATAACCGAGGGTCCACTGTAGTACTCTGATAATTATACTTATGTGTATCTTTTCCTAGGTAGTAGGTTGGTAGACAGCAACCGCCCAGGGAGGTACTACCGTCCTACAAAGTGAGTGTAAAACAAAAGCCTGTAAATGTTTTACATGATGGTAGGATTGCTGGTGTCCTTTTTTCTGTCTCATGAACATGCAAGATTTCAGGTACGTCTTGCTACTTCTATTTACACTTAGGTCACACTACACATACATGTACAAGCGTATATATACATACCCCTCTGGGTTTTCTTCTATTTTCTTTCTAGCTCTTGTTCTTGTTTATTTCCTCTTATCTCCATGGGGAAGTGGAACAGAATTCTTCCTCCGTAAGCCATGCGTGTTGTAAGAGGCGACTAAAATGCCGGGAGTAAGGGGCTAGTAACCCCTTCTCCTGTATACATTACTAAATTTGAAAGGAGAAACTTTCGTTTTTCCTTTTGGGCCACCCCGCCTCAGTGAGATACGGCCGGTGTGTTGAAAGAAAGAAGTGTATCTTTTTTTTTTTCCAACACCTTGGCTGTCTCTCACCAAGGCAGGATGACCCAAAAAGAAAAGCCCAGTAAGAAAAAACTTTCATCATCATTCAACACTTTCACCATCACCCATACATAATCACTGTCTTTACAGAGGCACTCAGATACGGCAGTTTAACGTCCCTCCAAACTGCCAATATACTAAACCCCTCCTTTGAAGTACACACATTGTATTCCCATTTCCAGGACTCAAGTCCAGCTAACCGGTTTCCTTGAATCCCTTCACAAAATATTACCCTGCTCACACTACAACAGCTAGTCAGGTCCCAAAAACCATTCATCTCCATTCACTCATATCTAACAAGCTCACGCATGCTTGCTGGAAATCCAAGCCCCTCGCCCACAAAACCTCCTTTACCCCCTCCCTCCAACCTAAAAGCTAAAAAGGAATTTCAGCAACCCATCTGATTACTTGGCTGGTAGGTCTAATGTGTTTTTTTTTTTTTTTTTTTTTTCTCAACAAGTCGGCCGTCTCCCACCGAGGCAGGGTGACCGAAAAAAGAAAAAATCCCCAAAAAGAAAATACTTTCATCATCATTCAACACTTTCACCACACTCACACATTATCACTGTTTTTGCAGAGGTGCTCAGAATACAACAGTTTAGAAGCACATACGTAGAAAGATACACAACATATCCCTCCAAACTGCGAATATCCCAAACCCCTCCTTTAAAGTGCAGGCATTGTACTTCCCATTTTCAGGACTCAAGTCCGACTATATGAAAATAACCGGTTTCCCTGAATCCCTTCACTAAATATTACTGTGTACCTGTACCTAAATAAACTTACAAACTGTGCTGGCATGCAGGTACGCATTAAAATCACTAAGTGTCTTATTAGTCTTGAAGATATCATATATTAATATCAGATTGGAGGGAGAGAGTATGGAGGAGGTGAATGTATTCAGATATTTGGGAGTGGACGTGTCAGCGGATGGGTCTATGAAGATGAGGTGAATCATAGAATTGATGAGGGGGAAAAGGGTGAGTGGTGCACTTAGGAGTCTGTGAAGACAAAGAACTTTGTCCTTGGAGGCAAAGAGGGGAATGTATGAGAGTATAGTTTTACCAACGCTCTTATATGGGTGTGAAGCATGGGTGATGAATGTTGCAGCGAGGAGAAGGCTGGAGGCAGTGGAGATATCATGTCTGAGGGCAATGTGTGGTGTGAATAGTATAATGCAGAGAATTCGTAGTTTGGAAGTTAGGAGGAGGTGCGGGATTACCAAAACTGTTGTCCAGAGGGCTGAGGAAGGGTTGTTGAGGTGGTTCGGACATGTAGAGAGAATGGAGCGAAACAGAGTGACTTCAAGAGTGTATCGGTCTGTAGTGGAAGGAAGGCGGGGTAGGGGTCGGCCTAGGAAAGGTTGGAGGGAGGGGGTAAAGGAGGTTTTG